TTAGTTATAGAATTAAGATATTTACTATAAGAGTATAAGATTAAGCTTTTCTTATTTAAAGTAAAGAAAATTATATTTTTAGAAATATTAAGGATCTTAGATTTTTACACTTAAAAGGAAGAATTGAGACCTTATAAATTTTTTTTTCCAAAGTTAATACACATTTATCAAGTGAGAAAATGTGGGAGGTTATTAACTTTATGAAGAGGATGGTGAAGTTCAAAATCATTAAAGGATATCCAGATATAATAATCCTCACATGACATAAATAAAGAATTGAAATTGATCCTGAAAGAAAATGAGAAAGAAAAGCAAAAAAAAGAAAAAAATATGTGAGGAGAAGCTTCAGGAGATGTCTAATAAAAAAATTGCTTCACTTGGATCTTCTTAAGGAAAGGGACTTATTCACATTTCTGAACTGGTTTTTAAAGTATTAGCATCCTTACTAATAGAGTTCTCATGAAATTATTTTTCTTGTAATTCCGCTAAGCAACTTTAGTATGGCAAATTGCAGTTATTTTTGAAATGAATAGGAAATTAGAACTCTTAAACTTGACTACAAGATATTCTTACATTTTAGTTTTAAATATTCAAAAATTTTTCCTAAAGTTTCACTATTGCATGTATAGAGCAAAACTATAGAACATTTAATTAAAACTCACTACCATAAGTTATAAATTAAAAATGAGTTACTTGAGGACAAGTAGTATTTAAGTTTGGGGGATTTGATCCACCTAAAAATTACATGATCCACCTAAAAATTACCTATTTTTAGTGTATATTTTATGCTCATTTTATGCATATTTTTGATAAAATTTACTTTAAAGGACAATATTTTGCATGTTTTTGATTTTAAGTACATTGAATGGACATTTAGAGAAAATAAGAACAAAATGGAGCAAAAATGAAAGGGCAAAAATGAAAAATTTTATATGGCGTCTTAGCGCCACCCTTGGCGCTAGTAACCAACTTCCTATAATATCCATTGAATTTGGCCAAATTTTGATGGGGTTCTTAAAGTGACCCATGGTGATTTTTAGTTATCGATTAATAGGGCCAAATTCTGGATGAAAATGGAGTCTTTTGGGTGTGTGTTGGAGAAGACTTCTTGAAGGTTTTGGTGTGTGTGTGAGTGAGAGTCTTTGTTTTGTGTAAGAGTTTGGAGATTGCTTCAAGGGGACTTTAAGATTTATTTGGGGAGAAGAAATAAAGATAAGTATCTTGCATTTGTGTTTAAGTTTTTGTTGTAAATCTTGGCTTTCAATACAAATCATGTGTTTTTGTTTTATCTCCATGAATTCTGAGTCGTTCCTTTTGTTTCTCCTTGGAATTAATCTTGTGGGATGAAAATGATTTAAAATTTTCTTTTTATTTTAAAACATTGTGATGGTATTTTCACCCGTTTTTTATTGACTCTGCAAATTGGTCATTTGTATTGTTAAAATCCGTTGAGAAACATAATAACCCGTGAGGGCTATGATTTCATCAACTAGTGAGTAACACATTTCAACTTGGGCAGAGCTGTTGCAATCATCTTAAGGGGAGTACAAATATATCGGGAGATAAGTTTTGATGCGCTTAGAAATGATGTTTCAAGAGTAACACACTAGATTCTTTTATCAATTCGGTCTACAGTTTGGACGTAAGGGTCCTTAGTAAGTCCTATTGGGAGGGCATAGTGGGTTATCTGGACGTGAGAGGCCAGAATCTACCCAGCACTACTACACAAGCTTGTGAAAAAAAACTCTAGGTTAGCCAATTGGTTAGCCAATTTTCTTTGCTAGCACTGAGAGGGGGTAAAGAATAGGAATGCTCCTATTTGACACAATATATCATTTATCTTTTTTCATCATTCAAATCTTACACTGATTAACCTCTCTTTGCAAGAGGAAAGATCCTTTCATAACATTCAAACTAGTTTTTATACTTTATTAGTCTTTTGAACTTTATGAAACTTTTAAATTTTGTTGTTACTTCCTGCTTAAATTTAGTTTTAACTATTGCAAACATATCGACATTGTTCTTCTATCATACTTTTCTGCAATTTAGATAGAAGTTTTGCAAGTCAACATTAAGAATTTTTGTTTTCCTCGTGGGATCGATGCAGGGGTATTTAATGAAATCGTATTAAGAATTTTTGTTTTCCTCGTGGGATCGATGCAAGGGTATTTAATGAAATCGTACGTTACTTGAAACGATACGTATACTTGTGTAGTACAATTAGTATGAAGGATTATTTTCTATTTTCAAAATCATTTCATTCGCACTAGCCGCTAAATATAATTTGGGTCAAGGTTTTGACAATTTTAAAAAATATAAATATTAACTTAACTGCGGGTCGGGTCAGGCGGCGAACGTAATAAGGATAGAATCGTGAAATCAAGAAGAGCAGCATAACACAGAAAATCTTGGGGAGAAAAAGGAAAGATGAAATCACGAAAGCCTTGCAATTCAAGAGAGAAAGAGAAGAAAAGTTTGAATCTTACACATTAGTCATGAAAACAGGAGGCATTCATGGAGCAGCAAAGAATTGTAGAGGCAAAATATCATAGAGTAAAGAGAGTCTCACATTGTCGATGAATCCACAAAAAATTATAAATTGTTTGGCATTTTTTGAAAAAATTTTTACATCTGCCATAAATATCCAGATTTAAAAATTTCATATTAAATAATATCTCACAAGTTTTATCATAAGACCAAAAGGCAACTTTAGCTAATAATATAAATAATCAAATAAAATGGGCACACAATCTATGTAAACCGCTTGTAAACTTCAATTACATAAAAAATAAATGGAAGAGTTCCTTAATTGCGATCACCTCGGAGCAATTTCGCATCTAATCAATATGAAAAAATATTATAAACAGTATAAAAATTACATAAGAAGGATATATCATTATGAGAACAAGCTATCACAGAGATCCCTTGAGTGGCAACTAGGTCAAGATACTCCATCCAACTTAACCCTTCGTTGACAAATCTTTTGTTCATCTTAACAGTCAACCGGCTTCTTTTATTTGTCCATCTAGTTTGTGTTTATGAAGAATAATCTTATCAAACTTTTCTTTGGCAACATCTGTGGCTTCTATCACCCAACCAATATAATCTAAGAATTAAAAAAAATATATAAAGCTTTAAGGAAAAAAATAGATGAAAAAAATGTTAGGCCTAAAATGAGAATTTTTTGCACTAAACCATCATAAGTGCTCGCTAACATATATAGCAATCAAGCCAACGAAATTGTTTCCAATGAAACCACTTGGGATAGTAAAATCTCTGTTATTTTCTCAATGTTTATATTTTATTCAAATTTCTTGTTCCTTTTACAAGTGGATAATCGAAGAATTAAATATATAACCAAATATATCACAGATCCTGATTCGGCTACATGGCCAATTCAGCACAAAGTGAGTAAAATCGAAAAAAGTTGAGATATGATCCACCAAAGATTATGATACTCTAGCCTAAGATGGCAGTGAATTCACTAAAATCTCAATGGACTTGCCAGAAGATACTTGACCTCGGAGTTTGACTACGTTAACTCCCTAACCACTACTAATAGGCTTCACTTAGTAAGATAAGGCTTTTGCATCGAAGATAGGTAGCTTCAACCGTGGAATAACAATTTTTACTGTCTAATAACTACTAATATTAACCACAAATCAAGATGCCTGCACATGTACGCATTTGTATTTTCCTTACATATATCCACATCTACATAAAAACAAAGCATACCATATATTTCTGGGGCATTTACATACATACCACACAATTCTGATGTATTTACATAGCGAACACCTAAAATTCTATATTTAAATATATAACACTGAAATTTTTAAAATCATATCAAACATACTATTATTACTGACTTTTAAAAGTGAAATAACATTTTCATGCATAGGTTTATGACACTAAAGGATGATAAATGTAAATACCAAACAACAAGTGTTAGATATGCAATTATATAAGATCTGAGTGGTATATATGTTAGTTTCTTGCAAGTAATGATGAGCACCTCTCATATTTGTCCCTCACTAGGTAGGCTAGATCACCCAAAAGGAAGAGACACACCAAGTGATTTCTACAGGTGGATTCAATCACTTCGGCAAGTAGGCCCAATTCAACCACTTCGACAGTCAATCTCGATTTAGCCACTTCGACGGATATGCTCAATTCAAGAAAACATTTTGAGTCCAATAAAGGCTTATGAGATTTTGAAACTTATTAGCCTTTGCATCAAGACACCATATAAAAAGGCTTGTTCAGATATATTGCCATATTTTTGTTTACAAATACTAAAAGCTATTCCATTCAACACAATTTTATTCAAATCGGACTGTCGGGTATATATATATTTTTAGAAATGTATAAGAAAAATATTTGATAAATTATATATATATATATTTAGAGACACACAAAGTCAAATTTGGCTGTTGAAATTTCAAATGGCCAAAACGCTAGCTTGGCGTCAAATTTTCAAATAGAATATCAACATTATCATATTTATCCAAAAGCAGCGGCCCTTGTTTTTGATTCTAGATTGTTGCACGTGCCGGGCCATAGATAACCATAATATTTATTATTTCAGCATGTTATTCTTATTTTAAGAAAAATTAAACAATAAATCTAATTTATTTTTATATAAAATACATTTTAATAAGAGCGTAAGATAATGTTTTGTATTACACGGCAAAGTTTAAATTTTTCTATTTTCAAGGTAGAATTTATATTTTAATATTCAATGTCAATTTTTGGTACTTCCCGTAAATAAATGAAGGTCATTCACAATATGTTTATGGAAGATTTATTTGCGTGTCACTCAGTTTTTATATATTTATATTTTTAAGATTTAAATTTTAATTTTTACATATATATATCATCTTATTTAGATGTATTTTACATTTTTTAATAATTATTTAAATTATTAATGTTAAGCATTGTTATTTTATAAATAAACTAAATTTAGATGTTAAATGGTGAATTGACCCATAAAAACAGACCGGAACAGGTGGTCATCTCCACCAACCAAATCTTCATCCCGAAAATTACAGGATTACAGAGCCGGCGAGGCAGCTTCCTCCTTTAAGCGGCAGAGGAAACGCGTGCTGGTGAAATACCTACACCTTCTTAGAGATCGATAGAGAGAAGAAAGAAAAAAAGGATCAAATTGCTTTGGTGGAGTGATGTGCTGTGACGATTGCGAGTGCCGGCCTCTTGGCTGGCTATTAGGCCTCCCCTTCGCCCTCCTTGCCCTAATCGTCTCCCTCGTTGGAATTATCATATGGATCGTCGGGTAAGTCTTCTATTTCCTCGTTTTCCCCCTCTCGATTCACAAAATTTCGCCGTCTTCTTTGATTAATATTAGTTTTCTGTGATTTTGTTGTTTGCGATTTTGATCGGGGGATTTAATTTTTCTCAAAAAAATATCAGGCTGTTGCTATCCTGCATATGCCCTTGCTGCCTCTGCGTTACGATTGTCGTTGAGATTGCGATCGAGTTGATCAAGGCTCCTATTCATGTTATGCAGTGGTTCACTGCCCAGATTCCCTGTTAGAATTTAGGGAAATTTATCATACTGATCGGTTTATGAGGATGATTTCGACTTATCTGTTAGTTTTTTTTTTT